ACACACACACACATATATATATAAAAAAAAAGAGTAAAGCACTAGTACACTTGCATATGGCACCAAGCGAACTGTCTTAACATGGCCACAGTAAATATACCTGAACAAACCTACATCCATGAAATATCAGTGTCCAGGCTACAGCACCATTGAAACCAGCCCATAATTAAGCTGCCTTGCTGAATTCCTATAGGATCTTGATCATAGGTTGTTATAAAATAAGTATCAATATCTTTTTATCCTCAGTTGAAAAATGTATCAATATCTTTTTATCCTCAATTGAAAAAACAGCTGTGTGACTGAGGCCTTTCTAAGAGTTATGAAGCACCACTCCAGAGCTACCTAGGCACACACATCTTATCACAGAGGACACCGAGTTACAGTATGGCACAATCTCTTGCACTGGATGTACCCAAATCAGTAAAAAAATAAAGAAAACTAACTCAGGAATTCTTTGAAAATGTAAGTTCTAAAGCATGGTGCATGACCTGCTGCAGTCAAGGATGCCATAACACAAGAAAGTTAAAAGAATAAAAAGAATAACACAAGAAAGCTCAGCGAGTAAGCGCTGGACCCAGATGTGTCACTTGCTAGCTGAATGACAAAACCATCACTTGCCATCAGGCCACCTCCAGTTTGCTGTCTCTCCTTCACTGATATTACAGGTGCTAAAACAGTTACCTATGGGAGAGGAGGGGGGGGGGGAACACTGGTGCACCAAAAATTATATTCTTCTGTTTGATAAGAAGGAAGAATTTGTTTAAGAACTATACTGACTAAACCTAAAACACTTCATGTCTTATAGGGTTAAAAATAAATAAATTTTAAAAAACTTGACCCCTTTTCTACATTCTATCTGTCAAATGCCACCTCTCATTATTTCACTGTCCTCTTCTTTGAATATATCCATTACCAACCATGAACTACATAGAAGCTTCACTGAAGTCTGAAGAAAGAGTTAGAAACTCAGAATAACTCCAAATGGCAAGAAGAGACAACTTGTTTGACAGCCCAAAGCAGATGGCAAATATAAATTTAACAGGGGAAAACAAGAAAAAAAAAAAGGCAGCAGGGGGAGTGTTCATGACAAAGGGGAAGGAGTACAATCCAGAGTACACTTGGTGCACCAGAAAGACCCAAGGCTAAGCCTTCCAAAAAATCCACAAAGGGAACGCAGAGAAGCTTGTCTGAACATCGACATCTAAACTGGGATATGAATAAGCTTCTATTTGAAAATAAGTACAATCCAGGCAGCTGAACAAAAGTAGCACTACATTCCATCAATCTCCTTCTTCCACTCCACAACAGATCTCCTAAAGTAAAGCTCTGTCCTCCTATCTCTCCGTATGCTGTATTTTCTTCCCTCCAAGTACGTACCACAGTCTTTGCTCAGTGCATGCACAGGCACACTAAGCAAGAAGGCACAAATGCTGTTTATTGCTAGGCTGTATATTCTATGCTGGGGTAGGATGACAGGCCTCTTTTTCCAAATCCCAATTTTATCTGGGCCAATTCCCCATTTGTGAAAAAAATATGGTTTTAGTTATCTTCTGTCATGGCTCCCAGAGGCCTCTAAGCATGGGCACTTATAAATAAAAACTTATTATTGTTTCTTATTTTATCCTTGAGCAGGGAAACAAAAGACTGAAACAAAACATGAAACTAAGCACAAGACCAATTAAAAAAAAAAAAGTTTGTCATAAATGTTTTGTGTCTCTAGGACGGAAATGAAAACTGTCTTCCCTAATTCACGAAGTTTATTTCTCCAAGCTTCTTGCTTACAATAGTCTATTATTCAGAAGGATCAAAGTGCACTGCTAAGCTTCCTATTATGATTTATTACAATCAAATCACACAAGCACCTTGAAAGTGCCCACCTTGACTGTAAAGGTATATTGGAAAAAGCAACTGATCTCCAAAACCTTGTGGTTTAGTCAAGCACAAAGCAGCATAAAATCAATGTCTGCCCCTCAGGGAAAGCAAGGATTTATATGTCTCTTCTCGGTGACATTTATTTAGGATACTTGGTGTTGTTCCCATTTCAGCCAATAGCACATGATTCATAGAACTACAAGAGAACCAGCTACAGTGGATATGGTTTTTTTTTTTCAGATTTATTCTCAGCTGAGAGATGTGGAGGCCCCACTCTTGAATAATTTCTAAGTTTTAATCAATTAGTCTAATCCAAAATACAAGAAAGTCCAGCGAGTAAGTGCTGGAACCAAACCTGTTGCCTGCTAGCTGAATGATGAAACCATCACTTGCCACCAGCCAACCTTCAGTTTGCTGGCTCTCCTTTGCTGGAAGTGCAGGTTCCAAGCCAGTAACCTATGTGGGGAGGGAAGGGAAGGAAGCCTGCTGTCCCAAGAGTTTTATGTTCTTATTTGACAAGAAGGAAGAATGGGTTTAAGAATCATGCAGACTAAATGCCAAGGTGTAGAAGGGTAACTCCTTTTCTAACTTCAGTTTGTTACTGGAATCAATTAAAAAATTAGCAAAATTCTTCATTCTTCCAATTTTCTGTGCATTAAACCACAAAGAAAATATATTCCTGCGTTGCACTTCCACCTAATCTTGTACAAATTATATCACGTGTACATGTGCAAACACAAATGCAACTTTATGTTTGCTAAAAAGCATTCTATGAAGTTATTTATTTGGCACCGATTTCCACTCTTGAGACATTAGCTTGATATATTGCCACTCCCCCAGGCAATTCCCTGGAGTTAAACAGTACATTGTATGTCATGAAATCAAGTACCTACAGCTTGAGTGAGAGTCATCTATTGATGCTGCTCACTCAAGCCAGTAATTGTTACATTCAGTGAGCCTCATTCTGCAGCACTCTTCACCCAAATAATAAGCACATCAATATGTAAATACTTATTTATGCATATTTCAGTTTACTTACAATTTCATACTTTAAAACACATGCAATTTTTTTCCCCCTTTGTTACATAATCCCTCTCATGCTGCTAAAGTAAATTTGGACTTTTTACTTAGGTTTCAACATCATTTTGATCATTACCTTAAATCACTGAAATTACTGAATTCCATTCCAACCAATATTCAAATAATAACTCTCTTATAAAAATCTGCTAACTGATCATAAGTTACAGAACAATTTTGCAGCACGATGTGTACCGATTGCTGAAGCTATGGAGAGTCATGACAAGTTCCAAGGGCCACTGACATTGAAGCAGCAGCTTCTCACATAATCCCATCATTTGAGTTTAGCTCCAAGGAACCACTCCAAATATGCGTGGGACAGGCAGCAAAATGCAAGCAGTAGAAGGTAGAATTTACAGAAGGCTAGCTTTATAGTCCTCCAGAGTGACTCAGCAAAGCACCAAAACCAGGCTTCTGCTTTGAACCTCCCATTGTAGTTGCCTTTTTTTTATCCCCCACAAACTATGGAGAGTGCTTCGAGACAAAAATACCCTTCTCCCTCTGTTCTAACCACAGAACTTGGCACTTATAGAATACTAATGAAATTACATTCTCATGCACTAATAGACAACATACTACATATGACAACAATTAAATTAATAATTAATAATTAATTTAATTAATAGACAACATATATTATATTATTAAAAGAAAAGGAAAGGAACAACATACTTTTCATGGTCCCATCTTCCTCTTCATCATCATCACTGTTTATTACCATGGTCCCCAGGTCCGATTCTAACATAGTACTGTTGTGTTCAATCATTGTCTGAGCACCTTCACTCATCGTGCTTGTGGCCCTCATGGTACCAGCATTCTCTGAACTGGTCTTCACCATGGTGTGAGAGTCCAGCTCATCTTCATCCTATGGAGAAGCATTTGCCAGAATGCAGCAGATCATCTTCAAAAAAACCCAAGTTAGCAACAAATCATCTAGATGCTTTTTCATTAGTTTTACATCTACACATGACCTGGTTGTACTGCTAGACTTCCAGTTTTAAAACTTTAAAAGAAATTACAAAATAAAAAATGTTCCATATAAAGGAAGAATATAAATTTTCTTCCTTCCCTCAGATGTATGGCAGGGTGGTTATAAGAGGAATGTGGCCCACACACCCACTTTGCATCAGCATCCAGTTTTGAATAGACCAGCGATTTTCACGACCCACTACACCTCCCTGGGTTCCAAAATCAGTACCACAATTTATAGAAAGTGGTTTGCTTGTTTTGCAATGGACTATCACCAGTCACCATTCACTGAGTATCATCCCCAGCATCTTACATTACACACAGCATCCAGATGACAGGCTCCTATTCAATCCAGCTATTAAACAATCCTCCAAAGTAGTTTTGCAAGTCCATTTCAGAAACAGACAATCAACTCTGCTTACTTCAAGTATTTAGTACTCCTTAAAAATCTCTGCCACAAGAGGAAGCAGAATAACTTCCTGATACTATGTAGAACAATATCCCTAGGGCACATACTTACCCAACTAAGTGGGTGGGGGAGCTAGTGTCATGAAGAGATACAGTAGCATTTTGAATCAAGTGACAAAAATGGGCCAGAAATGTGAGATGGAGACCTAATGACAATCTAGTTAATCAATTACAAAATTCATGTGGAACATAAGCATTTGAGAACATTGATGGGAAACCCTACCACTTTCCAAAGTCTGATTTAGATTATCACAGCGTTTCAGGAACAATGTGATGGACTATGCACATTTCCTGTAGGAGTAAAATCTATTATCCAAGGGAAAAAAAAAAAGAAAACTCCTTGTTGATTATGTAAGAAATAATACCCATCACTGTGAAGTCACTCTGTCAGATTTTAAAATTTTAAATACAAATTCTTTTTTCACCAGTTTTATAACCATACAAGCATGTATTTCCTCTGCTGTGTCAAAACTTCACTCGAGTTCACTCATAAATGAACTCTAGCCCAAATTAGCAAAATATTCTAGCTACACAGCTTGAAAGTCTGTCATTTAACACCTTCTCAGAATTTGCCTATTACAGGTAACACACTTGTTGCTACATGTAACATTAAAACAAGATTTCACCCACAACAACTTGCCTCCTTTTCCTATATCTTTGTATCATTCCATATATTGTAAATTTTTAACTACGAAGGACAGGAGGTGAGGGTGGCAGACAAGGGACAGAACCAGAAAAATAAACCCATGCCTCAAAATCCTACAAGTCTGGCACCTTCTGTTTCTCACAGGAGTCCTTCCTCTCCTGTGCTTTTGCTCACTGACAAAGCAGACAAGTTGCCTCTAGGACAGATACACTTGCACAACTGCCCGAGTCCCTCTTGCTGGGACCCAGCCGGTCTGAACAGATACAGTTAGTGGCAATATAAATACACCAGCTCCTAAAAATTATTCTCTTGCATCTCAGCTAAGAGACACAAAAACAGATCTAATCTTGATTCAGAGAGTCCGGCTACCAGCATAACATACTGACATCAGGATACAGACCTAAATCTGTGATTAAAATTTCAAATGTCAAAAGAATCACTATCTTTCTGGAATATAATTTTTAAAAATATCACAGTTCTTCATTTACATTCTTTCTGGGTTTATGTTTGCATTTTGGTACTAAAACACTGTATTTAGTACCCTACCCTTAAAAAAAAAAAAAAAAAAAATTATATTTCCAAAGACGTAGATAGTTTACAGCTCCAGCACTAGAGGACTGTGCCAGTAAATAAAAGAGAACATTTTGGTACTACTCCTCCTGGTGGCAACTTAAATTTTCTGTACTCGCTCCCCTCTGCAATGTTCTTGCTAACCCCAGTGTTTTCTACAAATAATATTTTCCCTTTTCTAACAAGGGTACTCAGAAATAAAGTCCAAAAGTGTCTTTTTTTGCATTACATTTTAGAAGTCCCAGAACAATTAAGGTGTTTGTTAGTTCCAAGACTTCTTTCAGCACTGCAGTACAGTGCAACACTGACACAATGTACTGATATTTCTCCTCTTAAGCACATGCAGCATCTCTAACACACAGGCAGGCAAATATCTGAGTTTAAGGCACAGTTACATCTGAATTACAGATCTGCCTGACTAATATTAATATCCATTTGCAGTGCATGTGGTCCTAAACTTACTAAAACTGAAATCAGAAATGAAATAGAAGTTTTCCTGAGGCTTAAAAGTTTTACTTTAGACGTTAGTGAAAGTGGTGTCTAACAATATGAACAAGCATGAAATGGCGTCCTACGTGACCATTTTGTATCATCTGCTTCATTAAAAAAATATATATTTTATTTCTTCAGGCAAATCAATCATCTGGATTTGTTCCAAATAACAGCATTTCATTTTCCAATCTAAGTATCAAAAGCCTTTATCTTACTGTTGTCTCTTAGTAAAGAGAAAAGTTATCTTCTAGCACCTAGAAGACTAAGGATCACAAAGGCCTTCCTTGGTACTAACAGAGTAGTTGTCCCAAAAAGGGACACAACAATTTTGAACAGTACAGTTTTCCTATGGTCAGGAATGCTGTACTGAGAAAGAGCAACATAAACTTTTTTGGGGGTCTGTGTATGCCCCAGAATAATTCATTTTGTCGGTTAAGCCAGATTGCTTCCAGAACTATCATTCCAGCATTTCTCAGAAATATGAAATTTAGCTAATACTGGCAATAGACTATACTGGATCTGAAAAAGTAACTTTATAAAAATATCCAGTGGATACAAGTTATATAAGTGCACATTTACATGAGAGAGGAAAGTGATTCCTTTATACAAATTCTGATGCATGCTTTATAGTCCATAAATATTGATGTAGAACTTCTGATCTCTTGTTGAAAAAGGTAAACTCACTGATTAAATGAAAACAAACACAGTATCAATTTTAACCAGGAAAAAAATATAAGGTATTAAAGCTGAAGTGTCATGTTCTCATACTGTTTATGAAAACAGATTCAATAATCAAGCAATAAAACTAGATAATTCTGGAATTAAACTGTCTGCTGTTCTCTTATGTAATAAGCACCAAACTTGTATTTGACAGTGCTTTCTCATACACCACTATGCTTAACAGAAAGAGCACACAAGCAAAAATGCTACAGAAATGACAATGAACTACAGAAACTAACAGCACTATAACATAAAGCAAGCACAAGTAAAACACTGCCAATACCTTGCAATCCTATGACACTAACTCCTCAGACCTCCTTATTTACAAGGATTAGTTAGAAGATTAACAAAACCAACCCTTAAAGTATAAAAATACAGTAATAGAGACTTGATTATCAGGACAGCAAAGTCAAAAAGACTTCAGAGGAAACAACACACAAAACTTCACAATATGCTTATACCACAGAAGATCTCATCACACAAGAAGTTTCCTCAGAAAAAATGGCCTTGCAGATCATACCTAAGTCTACATCAGGATATTAACAAATGACCTGAAGTGATAAAGATTAATGGATTTTTCTGTTGTGCTTTTAACATGGGAATAAAGGGGATGAAGACTGATAAAAAAAAAAAAAAAATAAAAAAAAAAAAAAAAAAAAAAAAAAAAAAAAAAAAAAAAAAAAGACAAGCAAACATGGCAGCTTGCCTTTAAAATCTCTTTAATTATAGTTTGTGCACGTGAAAACAACACTAGAGGGCACCAAAGACAGCTAACTAGGCTGCAACACATTAAAGGAAGATTTACATGCTGGCAAAATTTAGTGTCCTGCAAAATAATTTCATTTACTATTAACACCTCATCATCACCTTTGAAAAGCGTGGCTGTAGTCACAGCTATCTTTTTGCAAAAGCACTGTAGTAGCTACAAAAACACATAACATAGCTTGGTCAAGAACAAGGATTTTGTAAAAGTTCCTAATGTAGGAAATCCAACTACAATCAAAGTATATGCTTAATACTGAGACGCATCAGTAAAACGGGTAACAACTTTCAGCAAATACTCGAATTCCACCAAGTTCAGTAGACACGTCACAAAACAGCATTTGAGTTTGTTTTCTATTTCCTTCTAATTGATACATCCAGTAACAACAACTTGCTGCATGAAACTACCTTCCTATGTTTACTCTTCCTAGAAGCGGTTTCTGGCTCTAAATTGTTGTGGATTTTGTAAATATGCTCTTCTAAAGCCGTTTATGTCCCTTGCATAGCTATATTTCAAAGTAATCTTTAAATTTTTCTAACTTCAGGATATTTAAAGAACTGCAATCAAATTTAACTAGCACATATGTCAAGTGTTCTTTGGCTTAAAGGAAAAATGCTATGAAAACAGATAGCTTTAACACTGTCATGCAAAGTTACATACACATATACAGATATATCATAGACATACAAATTCATGTAAGATGCATTAAAGTAAACATAAAAACCTTCAGAAAAATGCAGCCTAGTGTATCAGATTTAACATACAGAACAACTCAATTCACTAGTTTCTTTACAGTAACTAAATAAATATTATAAAAACATAACAGAACAATTATAGCAATTATTTCTTAAGGTCTCAAAAGACAAATGCAAATTTCTCCTAATTAATATATGACAAACCAAAGAAACATTTGTATGAATGAATAAATAAGCCTATGTATAGGAATAATTGATTATTGATGGTTGGCTAAGTTGTTGATAGTTGTCAACCACTAAGTGTCTAAGAGAAACAAAAATGGAGTACTGAAGTAGTAATTCTTTGTTTGAATATTCTAAAATAATTAAGCATTCCTCACATAATAGAGACATTAAAATGTAAAAGAAAACATATAGTAAGAGCTGCTTGATTAGCTCATTCCTTTAAAGAGCCACAGAAATAAATATTTAGACATGTTTCCTGCAAGCTGCCAGGCAACAAGTTGCTTTACATTCCCATAATACAGCTGCCCAGCCTCAGCATCCAATTCACATCACACTTCAAAAAATGCACAAGAAGAGACTGGTTATGTTTAGTAATGCCTAAACTAACATTTAAACTTTGATATCGGGATTAACTTTCTGTAGAACACACCACTGGCAGTTTTTGCTTAATTAAAAAAACCCGTACCTCAGCACCTATCAAAATATGTCAGTTTGTCATAAGGCATTCTCATCACATGAGCAGATTCCATAACAAGCATAAGATTAATTCAGAGTGCACTCTTTGTAATGATAGTGCATCTCTCCAGAAGGATACAGACATGAAGACTGTATTCAACCTGACCATTTATTTACAGCTGTATAGTATGAAACTTGAACAGAAAAATGTATTTATAATATGGGAAGTCATCACTTGTAAAATGTTCCAGACAGTGGTAAAAATTAGTAACATCAATCAATTTTAGAAATGTGACTCTTCCTCACTTCAGGGAAAACAATCTGAATTGAACTTAAAAATTAAGTACATCAAGATAAAAAAAATATGAAATTATCACACTGACAAGCACCACTTCCCACTTTGCCAGCAGCACCAGCTATGACTTCCCTTTCATTTGTCCCACTTAAAAGGGGCATACCTTCTTCTTACCTTTGCACATGGTCTCTGTCTACCTTTGGAACCTCCCCCAAGCTCAAAAAGATCTATTCCTTCCCACTACTAAAGTTTACAAGAATGACAAACTATTTTTTAAAAAGTACCAATTTTCTCTGCCATGAGCAAAGCTGGCTTTTGCCAGCGAACTATGGTTAAACTCTCCATCATCTTGCCATGGTATTGCAAACATGCTCTGAAGTACTGCCACTTCAAACATACACATAGGTCTGTAGCAAATACCAGACAGCCTGGCTTACATCAGCCCACAATGAATCTGACTACCCACTATTTGTGTAGTCTTCTCTACTACCAAACCTCTCTCACAGGCTCACAGGCAACTGGCTCGAGATGGCCCTCCTTTGAGAAGGGGGGGGGGAGGGGGGTGTCACCTCCAAGTGACCTCCCGGGGACCCTTCCAACTTCAATCATTCCATGTTTCTGCTCTCTCAGCCCTGCTAACCAAAGATACTTCCATTATTTTCAGATCTGCGGCACCTATCTTTTACAGTGAGTGACGATCAGAGTCTGTCTTTTTAACACCTAACCCATTCCCTGACTGCTCCACAAAATTACATGAGAAAACTCCTATCAACTGCAAGGGTAACACAAACAACAGATTGCAGCCCCAGTCCTGTTCCCTTATATTAAACACTGAATAATTCAAGGGGAAAATAAAGTTTTTCAAAAAAGTTAAAAAAAGAAGAGCGCAGTGTTGCATTCTGACATTAGTACCCACGCAAGCACAAGGAGTCGCTAAATTCTTCTTTGGCTGAGGTGGACCAAACTTGTGTCGTAACCTTTCAGCAGTGGTAGGCGAAGGAAGGTGTACACCGCACACTGAGCTGGCAGGGATTGTTTCATCTGTGCCTGGCAATCTGATTCCCCATTTGAACCTCAGACGAAGTAATTAGATGTCATTACCTAATTTTGGGTTAATGTAAAAGACATCAACAGCACTCAAGTGTTTGAGGTCTACAGTTCAGCTGGCAATATCAGGAAGGAAAACATGCGAATAAAGACATTAGGTTTTTATGTCAGTAATAAACCAGTTTCTTCAGAGATCAGCTGTTCAATATATCAATTCCCAAACATCAACTCTATATGTCAAGTCACGCATCTCCACGTAGGCAATGTTTCCTCATATAAAAAAATATTCCCAACCTTCCCTGCCTGTTTTATTACTGACTAAGCAAATACAATCCAAAGTAAACCATCTTTATAAACACAAGCTGTCAATGTTCTTAGAACATGCTCTTAGAACAGAATAACATCGAGCAAACAAAAGACCATAGTGTTTGCTGTGATTCAAAACACTGCACAGAATCTGCTTAAAAAAGTGTTCCTATATATAGATCATCACCTAACACTCTTTAACACATAACAAGGATTCTAAAATTTGGGACAGGGCAGAACCCATTACGGCACTGCTCTTTTCTGTTTGCTCAAAGCTGTAAGATTTCTACTAACATTGCAGTCTCCATCTTCTGTGTGTGTTATTCCTGAATGACCTTGGTTCTCATTATATGTGTGGCAATACACTTCTTTGAAGTACATACTGCTGCGTTGCACAAGACTGCTCTAAAATAAATCATGCAGGGAGAGTAATAATGCCAGGAACACTTATTCCTAACATTGCCAAACAATTCTAAACGCAACCTATTTATCACTCAACCTGCTTCTCTTGAAAACATACACTGATAACACCATCTGAAGAATCAAATGCTGTCACCATTTTCACTTTATCGGTGCAACTTGATTGTAATCACTACCTACCATGCATCATAGCTGACTATTCTGTGTATTAGACTTTACAAAAAAAAATGCTAAAGTGCCCTTAACTGAAAATTAAAACACTTGTCTAGAAACCCATATGCGAACAGCTTTAGTTGGTTTGGTTTTTTGGGTTTTTTTTTGTTTCTTTTTTTTAATGTTAGTCTGAGCAGCTGAAGTCGAGACAGTTTCTTCTCCCACTTACAAGAAAAACTTTTTACTAGGACATTGCATGGAACAGTGCTGCAAGCTGGCTCATAAGCCATTACAGTAGCACTACTCATCAGAAATGAGTGGAATACTCAGCCGTCATAGTCTAAAAAAACAGGTAAAAACCTGGTAAAGCATTTCATACAGAAAGGAGGGGGGAAAACAGCAGCTTGTCTACAAAGCACAGATAGCTACAGGAAAAAAGATACACACCGAATTTTCTTCCTCCTCTTCTAGTTCTCTCTGCTGTTCCTCATGTCGCTTTGCCTTTATCTCCATAGCTTCAGTGATCAGGTCCCTTAAAATTGAAACTGGCTTGGCATTCTTAATAAACGTATGCTATAAAAAAAAACCATCGTTGTATAACATTACAATAGTTACACTTCAGATGCAGTTACAAGTACTATTGAACACCACAGATTTCAGTGATAAATAGAATTTTACATCACACCGTAATTAAAATCTACACTAACACAACATAAAATATCTTTTAACTACTTCATAACTAAAATTTTACTGTAACTATTTTTAACAAAGCAAGTCTTGTGAAATGTAATAACAACTATTTTATAGCTGAGTATAGAATCTTCCAAAGGAATCATGCTGTAAGTAGTAAATAAATACTGTGGTGATTGTCTGACATAGAAAAACAAACTTTTTCAGATATTCAGTTACAGAATTTAATTAATCTTAACATACTGACAGCATAAATTAGTGGCTGAAGGCAGAGCAACTATGGCTGCCTACTTCAACAAACTTGTACTTTATATGTCATAAAACACTACTTGATCTGTGATGCTGAAATGTGGAGTAACCAAAAAAACCCCCTTACTTCTAACAGGAATATTAATTTTTAAGTCAAGGCCACTTAAAATATCACTTCTGCCTTTAAGACAACACGTGCCAATATCACTTACATTGATTTTCCTGTTTAATAAATACCTGCTCTTAGAAAAATTCTGATTTTTGCATCATTACACGTAAATACAATTTAGGCGCTCTAAGCACCTCTGAAACATATTTTTAAGTATTAAAAAATAATTCCATGAAGAACAGAATTGATGAAGTCTAGTGTTCTACACCTATTACCCACCTTCTCCCTCAATACATTACTTCAAATACTCTCCTTTTGCCTCCATGATCTCTCCCCACAAGCAGTACTTCCATTCCCACTCACACACACCCACAGCACCTCCAGCTCCACCACACATGCTCCAAATTCCAGCTGGGGGAAAAGGCAACACGTGCTCGTGCTGGACACAGTACTTGGTTTTCTAGCCAGTAAGCATGTGAAAAGAGGAACACTGAAGGTTTTTTTTTTTCCCTCTCCTTACTTGAACACATTAACACAAGCCTCTTCTATCCAACTGCCAGTATTCAGCTAACCACATGAATTTCAGGACTTTAAGGTCTAAAGTACCGATTCATACATCATACGAAAATCTGTAACTTTCAATTTTCACTCTCCTTCCAGTCCACATTTTGGTGTTCTCACAGTGTGAAAAATAAACTATCCATAACGTGACATATGCGTATGATGATCTATTACTGGAAACTACTTTGCAAAATTTTTATATTCTTCTTGTAGTGGAGCTCACTGGAAGTTAAATTTTAAAAGAAGCTATTGCTAGCTAGAGATAGACTAAATCTAGCATAAATGTCTTACAGATGAAATTTCAGAAGATCAGATTCTTAGGTAGACTTATGAACAAAGAACATGAGCATCTATCAATAGCAGTGAAAAGCATACAAGAACACTAAATTATCCAAAAGTTAAATTGATTAGGTAAGAATCAGTAAATTAAAAGAAGCCAAGGATCTAGCAAAATTTTTCACTTCTGTCTCATTATTAAAGCAAATTTATTTAGTGGAAATTTTAGATCCCATTTCGATCATCATGACACCTACTATAATTGTTCTAGAAAACGTTTTATTTTCTCCCTGTTTTTTCACTACCTTTGTACTTTGTTTCTCCTTAGTCAATTGTAGGCTTATTATGACAGCCCTGAAGACAGGGGATAACAGAAACACAGCCAAAGGAGGAAACCTTGATTGCATTTTCTCCCTCCCCCCCTTAAAATATGTGGCCCCTGCAAAATTACACCCCTTCCATAAAGACTAAATCTTGTTTTGGTAGATCAGTCTCCTCTGATTTTTGCATGTTTATAAAATTTCTGCATCCACTAGAAGCTCAGGTCAGCAAGCAGTAAAAAGCCTGGCACAGCCTGTCCTGGCTCCATAGGTTCACACCAGCAACTGTGCCTTGAATTTAAATGTGCCCAAGTTGGTGTAACTCAGCCTAAAAACAAACTTATTACACTGTCCATCTGCATTAGATCCTCCTAGGACACAGAGTAACCTGTCTGGTTAATTTGATGTGACCAGAAGGAAAGACTGAATATACTCCATGGGTGGTCCACACTCAGGGGTAACCTGGGCTCAATTCCTTTACTTAGCACTTGCCTCTAAATCCTGGTATCTATTGAGGGCCTCTAATCACAAAGAAAGGAACCAATTTTTATAGTAAGAAACAGCCCTAAACTATATAAAGAGCAATTCATTTTTAGAAGCAGCAAAGGAGAAATAAAATCGGGATAGAGTACAGGAGCTGACAGAGAAAAGACCACAAAGTGGAAAAGAAATAAGGCATGATGATAGTTAAAATGAGAATTGCCCTTAGAAAATTTTCACAACAGTTCTGCTCTGAGATTACAGGAAAAAAGCCATAAAACTTGCATTTCCTCAGTAACTTACTGACCTGTAGCAGCTGTGTTGCTGTAGCTCTTTGTTCAGGATTTTTCACTAAGCATTTCTTCACAAAATCTGTGAATTCATCAGACCAGAGCTCTGGCTTCCGGAAGGTTGGAGGGGGATTTGTAGGAATCATAAAAATAGCCTAGATAAGAATCAAACAGCAATAGCAAATTTAAACAAAACACATCATCACAGCACTGAAGCCAAGTAAATAAATTGCTTTATCCGCCTTTCTTATCAGACTAAGAATCTGGAAGACAAATTTTAAGTAAGCTAGGATTTCCACTCAGATCAAGATTCAGGAAGTAAATCCATCTGCTACTAATGTAGCTACTTCCCATTAGATTTTCTCTATTTCAACTGTACCCCAATGAGCACATCTCATTATTTTATCTATTGCTGTTCATCAATCTCAAGACACCATTCTATCCTTTTGGAAATTCTTAGTAGAAGTTACATCACTGCTTGTTTAAACAGACACATAGGAAGTTGCTGTGGAAACCCAAGTCCACCTTATCCTTTATTAAGTGCACTCAGTTTTGCAGAATTGCTTAGGAAATTTGATGGGATTACTATTTCCTTTTGTGTTCATAATTCTTCACCTGTGGTTTTAAAACTTGCTTTTCTTAACTATATCTATGAAAGTATGCTAAAAGACATAGGACAACACTAAAAGATAACCAAAATAAAATTATAGAGTAACTTGTCTACTAGCAGTATGAATTTACTTGAAACTGAAAATGCAGCCAGCCTTCCACCTATGCAGCAAAAATTTCACACTGTTGAGAACCATACGCAGACAGATTTTTCAAACAGGAAAAAATATTCATGCTTTACCACAAAACATTTGTCCAATTTAGGATTATATATATTGTGTGATTTTCTTCATTTATTTTTTCCACGTTTTCCTCTAATTAGATTTTGACTTGTAGGGGAAAAAAACCAAACCAAACCAAACCAAACCAAAACAAACAAACAAACAAAAAAAAACCAACAACAAAAAAACACCACCAGTGCAATTCTGAACAGCTACTGCAAAACAATGGGCAATTTTGAATTTCTGTATGTAATATCTCAAATGAATTCATTATCATTCCTTAAGATTTACACATGATAGCAAAATACTATTCAGAGCCAGGTTTATTGACAGAAATAAATTATTATTTTCTTCTAAAAACAGGTTCAACTCAAGCACACTTTCTAAGGTAAAAGGGAGTGAAAGTTCTTCATTTGTTTTTCTACAAGCATAGGCAGAAATATGTACTGGGAAACAGGGAAAAAAACTGAAATGAGATATTATGCACACTGTTAACATAGTACAGGCACTAGAACCTTCATTTTGAAACATGAGAAGGGAGAGGGAACTTCCTGAGATTTTATCCATAACTTCTTAAGAAGTCTGACTGGCCTTGAAAGTTGGTTTGACTTGTACAAACCCTCATTCTAAAGTTCTTCTCAATATGCTGAAGAATATAATTTTAATTAAAAATATTATATTAAAACATAACTTTAATAAAAATTATTTCAGCACTGAACAGTTTAGTTTAATTCAAATACTGAAACATTTACAAAACTCATTCTCTGCCTAATACAAGAATTAGAAGAAAAGACCTGGTAATTTTGTTTAATAAAGAAGTATGCTACAATAGCTTATATTTTCAGTGGGCAGCTGTGCCAAACTAGTATATGAACTCAGGTAGGAAACATGGCACTCTATTACCCTGTGCTTCACTTATGATACCAGAGTAATTGTCAGTACAAGTGAAGTGTTTCTGGTATAAAGCAGTGGCTAACAAATTCAGCTTTTTCTGTCCTTGAAAGTAATCATCTCTGAACTTTGAACTGATGACTTTTAATCTTATCTTTAGCTACCCTTAACAGCCAGCTCCTCAGTAGCTATTGAAAACACAGGGCTGTAACAGAAGACTGGTAACTTCTGTTTATGTGGTGTCAAAACACATACCTCCTGCCTGATAATAAACACTGACCCCTCTCCCCAGGTGAGCAAAGCTTAGTTTCAGAGTTCTACTCAGCTCCAGTGTTCCTGGAAAACTATTTGCCTTTGCCAGTTATTTTCATCAACTACACAGCAGTTAAGAACCACAGCAAAGAAGTGACTTCTTTATAATTCACAAAGGACAATGAGAAAAAAGAGGGAATTCATGAATCATTCTTTTATGGCAGGCAATAAAAGTCACAAAAGGAAATATTAAAGAGCTAGAGTTAGGGTCCTAAATCCACATTTATGCTTTATAGGTTTGTGGTAGATACCTACTTCATAAACATGTATATTTAATGCTTAAACTGTAGGTTTTAAAAATCTTGATATGTGAGAAGAGCTTTGTTAGCTGAAAAAAAAAAGATGCATTTTTTGTAATACAAGAAAATAATTAGAAACTATTTATTCCAGAAGTTTTGTCCAATTAATTATGCCATACACTTGCTAGCATGCACCTCTCCCCCCTATCTCCCAGCATTCCTTTTCACTAAATAGCCTGAAATGCTGGGGTTTAATTCCATCTGCCCTCTCTACTTCCTGATTTTGGCTTGCATATTTCTCTGCATAAAAGTTATGCTCCCTATCTCTTTTCAAAACAGCCTATGATTTAGCTTCCAAATACTTCTGTTTCCTTCCAAGAACCTTGCAAAGCAATCACTGTTGAATTATAAAGCTAGTCCCAAATCCCTACAAATAAAACCAAAATGCTTATCTGATAGGAACTTATTGCTCCATGTTGCTCCCATTTCTTGTCAAATACATCTCTTCTATCCTAAAAGAACTCTGTCTTATTTCAAAACCAAACTAAGCTGTTGCAGTCATCCTGTTCCATGGGTGCTGAGCAAAGCAGGAAACCTAAGAGACTGGGTTTTTTTCATGCTTCTTTCATCTTATCCTGTATTTCTCCAGTCCCTGTGTTCACCCAAACCACTACTTGTAGTAATTTTTTGTCTCCACTCCACTCATAATTTTCTCTAGAAGTTTCCCACAGCTATTGGTATTAGTTCAGTTTTCACTGTGGGGCTCACAGCAATGCTCATACAGCCAATGTTAACTTAACAGAAAAAACAAATATAAGGTGCCATCCTCCCATTTACGTGGGCTGAACTGGCAGTAACAAGTGCAGGAAACATTAGGAGGAAATTGTTCAACAGCAAGGGTAGGCTCTGACATACTACAAAGGAGCTAGGGCTAATTATTCTCTCTCTGCACTTTCAATATCACCGTCCACATTTCCTTGCATATCTGAGACAGACTAGAAAGCCTCGTTCAAGTAACACATCAAATATATACCCAAGGTGTTAGATACTATCACTCCATCTTAGTTTTAACCATTCAATCACCCTTAACAAAAAAAAAAAAAAAAAAAACACACACACCCACACCAAAGCACAACTAAATTGCAAGATGTCAGAACTCGCCTGAGTGAGAACAGACCTGAGGGACCATGGCAGCTTAACTGGTCTGTCTTCACCTGTCTGTAATAGAGTCCATTCCAAATCTGTCCTGGACTGGCCCTTCCACTTCTGAGCCTTAAGCCCAACTCTACTTTGAATCATCTTTCATACATTGCTCTGAGGCAAGTCCCATACCCTGCAGTGAAAGCAGAATCCAAAGCAGAATACAGTATATACATGACAAAAGATGGGGGGAATCTACATCACACAGGGCAGCTTTCAGTGGGCACTAGACAATCTAAACCAGTTTCTACTATAAACATTGCCTGGAAGCACTCACCTGTCTGACCACCAGCAGTTACAGTTGACCTGAATACTAGGCTGAGGACCATCTCTTAAATGAGAGCAGGACTGTGCAAGTCAGCACATGATTTTCTTTTTACTTTTATTAAAGGGCCTGGCATTATAAATTAAGTCTAGGCTGAAAACTTTTTTTTCTTTTGGTGAAGGTTCTTTTATGGACTGTTTTATTGGCATGAAAATGTAATTTTGTTGATGATGATGATATAGGAAATTCCTATAAAAATGAGTCCCTCATGTGTGACATTTGAAATTTCCTCATCAGAAAATCATTGCAGCTCGTTCTTCCTATCAGTCAGATATATTTATCTGTATTTCACACAGCCTGCAAACATGTTAAACCATCAACTGTAATTTGGTAGAAGTGCTATGTCTTCTGGGTTTTAGCTCCTTGAATAGTTTATTTCTATTGTTCAGCTGAAAAAAAAATTCCTTGTAATAATTTGCAGGAAATAAAAAGTATAACTTTTACTGTTATTATTTGGCCAGTATCATGAGTGCTACTGAAGGAGACAGTGAAGATTTTTATACTGTGGCAATTTTACAATTTTCATGCTGTGAAGCTCGATTGCTGGAATCTACAATTTTTTTTTTTGTAAAGAGGGTAAGGATAACAAGACATCCAGAAGCAGTTTGTGACTCTACAGGCTTTGGTACCACAATTATACAATTAATTTATCAATCTACTGCAGAAAACAAACTCCAAAATACACTTAAACTTTGTACATATATTAGAGTACAAAACCTATTTAAGGCTGGGAATGTTAAACATTGAACACTAACATTTTCACTTCGGAAACAAAGATTTGGCTGAAAACCACATTTTTTTTTCTCTTCTTTATGAAGCATGTCACAAAACTTCTCGTCCTTCTTCAACAGCCTTCAAAAATGTGATTGAAACACACTAATTATTCAATTACACAATTCAACAGCTTCATAGCAATGGTCCACATTGGTGTTTAAGGATGAGATACTAGCAGGTTCTACATTGGTTTTGCTGTGTTGAAGGGTTTTTTGTTTTGGTTAAAAGTCAGAACTACAACATTGTCACAACAAAGTTCTTTCTTTTTCGCTGTTAAGAAGTTTTGCAAAGTTACTGAACAATGCCTAAGGTTTAAAGACAAGGAAGTCATCCAACTGTATCTTCTCTTTCATGGAGGGGTAAATGCTGCTTTTTACTAATCTCAGCAAGAAGAGCAACCTGAACTACAGAGACGATGAAGGAACTCAGATCAAAACTGTGCATCCAGCAGTCTATGCAGTGCTAGTTTCTTCATTTGCACTGCCCATCTCACACCTCATAATACTTCTAACAGAGAAGTGGCTCGAACAAACACAGTAAACCAGAGCACTGATTTCAATTTTCTACAGGAAAATTTAAACAAT